GCTTTGAGGAAACTATTTAGTCGTGAAGGTGTACCAATTGTTTTGGTCACTGATAACGGCTCACACTTCACAGCGAAATCTCTCGAATATTGGTTAAAAGGACTTGGTTGTCGTCATTTATTTACTGCTTCCCGTCATCCACAGTCTAATGGACTCGCTGAAAACTTTGTTCGAACTTTGAAACCTGCCAGCAATTCTATTTCATGATCTTGATCGAAATATTGATGATTTCTTGATGCAGCACCGGAATGCTGCTCATTCACTTACTGGTAAGAGTCCGGCAGAGCTATTCAAGTCGAGATCCTTACGCACGAACCTGGAATGCATTGGGACTGCCGACGTAACATTTTTCAAGGGTAACGATCTACGTCCATCTACTGGTGTTGTTATTGGGAGGAACGGGAATCGTATGGTCACGGTTCTTGACCTCGAAGATCTCTCAAGTCACAGACGGCATGTTGATCAGGTCGAATTCAATGCTAGAGGTCAGTTTGGCGGCAATACGTCTGTTGCTTCAAACACTAATGACCTTTCTGATTCTCTTACAGATGGTTCTGATGAGCATGAAACAAACATTGAACCTGACAATCCGACATTGAGAAGATCTGAACGTTTAAGGTTCCAACCTATTAGAGACTATAAACACCCGCACGCTCATTCAACGTGTGGTGGATGTGGTGAACATTGACTCTATTCTATTCATTCTGTTTAGTGTATTTTTATATGCCTTTGTTTTACGATGCGATATATAGTACGCCCGCGATATACGAAAATATACGATATTCATTAGTCCATATTCGGACTTTTATACTTCGCGTACATTCGGTAGTTACGATACCTACCACTATTCTAATTATCACACATACGATAAATAAATTAGAATAAACGAGATACGCCTATGATTCACCTTCCTGTCTGTGTTCTACAGTATTCACCGGTTGCTTTGAATAAACAGGATTCTACACAAATTTTATAGTAGTTGACTTTTTCGCGCATGTAGTCCGATTTAAACAACACAAAGGTTTTTGTGAGGGGGAAGAATGAAACGTTTTTTTAATTTGATCCCCCATATATAATGAGTTCCAAATTTTTACCACGGTTTATTTTCCCGAAAAAATAAACTACTGTGTTTTGAAATTTCTAACAAACAAATATGCACCACTTTAATAATGCGGGCGGATTTTTTTGACTAGTCATTCAACATTTATGTTGCTACAAAAAAGATAGCTTTCTTTTGGAACTCATTAAATGAAACATTTCTTTTTCCGGCACCCGTTATTTCTTCCAAAGGATTGATTTCGTGCTACTCAAACTGCCTTGCCTTTAGGGACCGAATCAAACGAAACATTTTATATTATATAGTAATATAATATCACAATGTCAGAAATATTGGAGAACCATTCGATCCCGCTTTGTTAAAGCGGGTCAACCCTGCGCGACTGAGGGCCTACGAAATCCACTGATGGACGGGGCAGCCCTGGCAGATCGGCATATTTTGCGTAGCGGGGATAGGTTGAGGGTTCGCATCTGCTGCACTCAAAGACAGAGCAAAGTTGCACGGAGCAGACTTTTGAAAGTTTGATTATGCAAGTCAAACGCGCGCGACTTGTACTAAAGTTCACCAGTAAACGAAGGAGAAAAGCTAACGTCTTTTTCTCACTGATTATTCTTACGACTGTGCTAATGGGATTTTAAATCAACTTCTGCAAGATAAAATGAATCGGGATTGGCCGCTCAACTGTTCTGTTTTATTATTCATCTTGAGCCCAACATGAAATATCGTGGGCTCAAATGTGGAATGCTAGCTGATATCAGGGGGCCATAACTGGATAGAATGAGGCCCTTACGAGAGCGCCAGGCAGCCACTCTCTGAAATAATGTTGATGAGGGCGCATTTGTTATTGATACTGATAATGTATCAGTATCATTATGGTTGTTCCAATGAGGAAAACTAGCAATTAGGGTCGTTCTTCGAAAGCGTTATACCAGTTATCCGAATAGAAAAATGTAGCTTTATTAGCAAAAAAAACAAGAAAATACAAATCGTGGAACTTTCCTTGTAATTTGCTGCGATGTGTGCGAATTATGTGCTTAAGAAGACTGACACATACAAGTGGGGAAGCATGTGCTGCATTTGTTAACAGAACAGACATGTGTTATGAATGACACTGCGAAGAAATGAAGGGTGCAACACATGTGTGCAGTGACGCTGATTTTATACGATGCGGGAAAATGAGAGTTCATTTTAAATATCCCCAGCTTAAAAGGCCTAAAAGCTAAGGCCCCCTACGGAACCGAATGTACCCAATGTCCCATTAAGGCGCATGTATAAATCCAAAAGCATATAGAGGTGTATGTGTACCAAATCATGTCATGTACTGAGATATTTTATGCCGTATCACAATCGTGGATTTCTGTAATCAGCTTATGTTCCAGGTATTTGCATTTTATGCGCGTCAGGGGGGGTCCCAAGATATATCTTTTTCAAATTTTATCCCGTCATATAGCTTCACGTAACCTAGCTCTGCCGACGAGTAATAGCTTCACACACCTCCGTGGGAGAAATCAGAATTTATAGTTCTGATGTCCCGTACCAATAACCAACGGCAGCCATCATGTAGTAGGTCGCTGCTGTAGACCTTCGTACTTTCTGCGAAGAAGCAAGTTCATAGGTAGCGTTATTACGGAATGGCGTATTTAAGGGCATAAAGAAACCCCTACAGGCACTGGCTGGAAATAATTAGGCTGCGCACGCTACTAATAAATGCGAAGAAGATATCGCAAGCTCTTATTCTAACAAGCAAAACGATGCAACAATAATTCTCAAGTGATTCTACTGACTAGATGAATTACAAAGAGATAGGTGCGATATGTCCCTAAAGACTATCTGTCCGGTTTGAACAACGGATTCAAAAATATATATTTAAACTGCTAAAAACATGCTCCGGCCAAATAAATAGATGTGTTTGTTTGAAACGAGAATCGACCAAGCAAAAAGACGGCCGGCANTTGCAGTGAAGTTCTTGCCAGTCATATTCCTCAGTCGATGGACTAGATTTATTGTGCCACAAAATCTGGATAAACAGTTTGCCGCTCTGGTTGCAGTAAAGTAGCTACAAGACGACCTTCAGGAGTTTAATGTTGCTGCGTTATCACATATTCACGGTATTCAAGTGAAGTGAACAAGCTTTGACTACGGCCCTAATCCCGTTAATCTCCGAAACATGCCTCTCCAGATAAGAATTTTCGATATGGTAAAACAAGGTTAGGTTCTCCTCTCGTCCCCTTTAACCTGTATCAGATAAAATTAGGGGCCATGCAGCCTAGCAAAGACGGACTTGCATTTATGTGAAAAACAGCTTGACGAATGCCCTGGAATTGTCAAGTAATTTGGTTTACGAAAATTGTCAAGTGTGACTTGCTCTGAAAGTTATTCGTGAAAGTTTTTTTTTCGGAATGTTTGGCGACAACAAAAAATATTTCTGTACTTATTGCATTACAGGCGTTTCGCAGTTCCAATTACGTGGGCATAGTTCAAGCAGGCTCTCCCGGGACCTCCAAATGATTTCAGAGAAATAAGCTAACAGCTGGTATGGTGACTATGCACAGTACATAACCCAACCAACACAATATTCAATGAAGGTGTACGCTGCACAAACGAAAACTTGATTTCCGATTTCCTTGTTCCAAATTCACAGAGGGTTTACACGAGCTATTGTTCCGACACAAGGAGGATCGCTACAATGTATTCCAAGGCGATGGCTCTATTGT